GTTAAAGTGAGATTTCTGTGGGAAAAGCAAGTCTTATGGATTGACTGGTGTGTGTATTTGTGTTTAACAATGTTTTAACAATCCACTTACTTCAGGTTCGAATGGGTTTTTATCCACACTTTGTTCCCCACCACAACTCTTTGGTATGGGCTATACACACACGCACACACATGCCTGCACACTCTCTCTCTCTTTCTCTCTCTCATCACATTCTCAATACATAGACATTAATATGTAGTTGTTCTACCCTTTGCAGCTATGAAATCTTCCACTTTTCTGGGAAGGCTTTCCACAAGATTTTGGAGTGTTTCTGTGGGAATTTTTGCCCATTCATGCAGTAGAGTATTTATGAGTTCAGGCACTGATGTTGGATGAAAAGGTTTGTCTCATAATCTCCATTCCAGTTCATCTCAAAGGTGTTCAATGGGGTTGAGATCAGAGCTCTGTGCGGGCCAGTCAAGTTCTTCCTGATCCAACCATGCCTTTATGGACCTAGCCTTGTGCACTGGGGCACAGACTTCCCAAAACCGTTCCCTCAAAGTTGGAAGCATAGATTTCTCTTCACTGGAAGTAAAGGGCCTAGCTCAACCCCTGAAAAACACCCCTATACCATTAACCCTCCTTTACCAAACTTTACAGTTACATAGTTACATAGCTGAAAAAATACTTGCGTCCATCAAGTTCAGCCTTCCTCTTATATGTTTTTGCTGTTGATTCAAAAGAAGGTAAAAAAACCCAGTCTGAAATGCTTCTAATTTTGCAAAAAACTAGGAAACAATTCCTTCTTGACCCCAAAATGGCAGGCAGATGTCTCCTTGGATCAAGCAGCTATAACCTCACTAATTAGAACATATATCCCTGTATGTTATGTTTTTGGAAGTATTTATCCAATTGTTGTTTAAACATCTGTATGGACTCTGATAAAACCACCTCTTCAGGCAGAGAATTCCATATCCTTATAGTTCTTACTGTAAAAAACCCTTTCCTTTGCCTTAGATGAAATCTTCTTCTAAATGCGTGACCTTATGTCCTATGTGTAGCCCTGTTTATGAATAGATTTCCAGATAATGGTTTGTACTTGCCCCGAATATATTTGTGTAATGTTATCATATCCCCTCTGACGTGCCGATTTTCCAAACTAAAGAAATTTTAATTTTTTTAACCTTTCTTCGTAACTAAAATGCTCCATCAATTTTGTAGCTTGTCATGATATCCTTCTTTAGAATATGTGCACAAAATTAATTGCACAGCATATTCAAGATGTGGTCTCACAAGCGATTTATAAAGAGGCAAAAGTTTATTTTCATCCTGAGAATTTATGCCCCTATTTATACACGACAAAACCTTACTGGCCTTAACAACTGCAGATTGACATTGCATATTGCTGCCCAATTTGTTGTCTATAACAATTCCCAAATCCTTCTCGTGTGTTGTTATCCCTAATTGAGTACCATTTAGGGTGTAAGTTGCTTGTGCATTCTTGACCCCAAAGTGCATAACTTGGCATTGCTCTACATTAAATTTCATCTGCCATTTTAGTGCCCAGTCCCCCAATCTATCTAAATCCATCTGCAGAAAAGCAATATCCTGCTCACATTTCAGTTTTGTGTCAACTGCAAACACTAAAACATGGCTTTCAATGCCTATGTTAAGATCATTTATAAATATGTTGAATAGAAGCGGTCCCAAAACAGAACCCTGAGGGACACCACTTACCACTTTTGTCCAGCCTGAAAATTTACAATTAATGACAACTCGTTGTACTTTATCTTTAAGCCAATGTTTTACCCAAGAACAAGAATATTAATCTATAGCAATTTCTTTTAGTTTGCAGACTAACCTATTGTGAGGAACCGTATCAAATGCCTTGGTAGATCACATCCACTGCAACACCCTGATCTATACTTCTACTTACTTCTTCGTAGAATCAATCAGGTTAGTTTGGCATGACCTATGTTTCATAAAACCATGCTGATTATTGCTAATAACAAAGTATAGTTATTTAAAATGTCGGCCCTTTCTTGGTCTCCATTAACTAACAGACCCATCTCTGTTTCCAGTGTACCTTCACTTTCATTTAAATTTTTTTTTAGAATTGATGTACTTGAAAAAAAATTTGGGGGTTGGTTTTGCATTCTTTAGCTATCAATTTCTCATTTTCTAGTTTAGCCACTGTAATTGCCTTTTTGCAAGCATTATTGGCTTCCTTATATCTTACATAGGATGCCTCTGATTTGTCCGATTTAAATGCTTTAAATGCCCTTTTCTTATTTTTAATCTCTTGTTTTACTTCTCTACTAAGCCATATTGGTTTCAATTTGCTTCTTTTATATTTATTACCCAGTGGTACATACTGAGAAATGTACCTTTCTAATATTTGAATAGTTTCCATTTATCCTCAGTGTTCTTTTCACTAAGGAGTTTATGCCAGTCAAAATGTTGTAGAGCTGCCCTAATCTTATTGAAATTTGCTATTTTTCAATTATATGTTTTAGTGTACCCCACTTCTGCTTTTTTGAGTTTATTAAAAAAATACCATAATGTGATCACTATTTCCCAAATGCTCCCCTACTTGAATGTTGGACAACATTGTTTGTTATAATGAGATCCAGACAAACATCCTTTCTAGCTGGTGCTTGTACCAGTTGTGACATGAAGGTGTCATTTAACACATTCAAAAACCTGATTCCCCTTGCTAAGGTACTAGTCAATCTATCCCAATTTATAAACACAAAAAGAATTCAGCGCTAGTAATCACAAAATTAGTCAAGGTAGGCAGCAACCCAAATGAAGGAAAACCCCTCGGGTCCTTCAGTGGAAGCTGCGCCAGATAGCAGTGTTGCTGTTGAGCCTGTATTACGGGGAGCCTGCGGATGCGTCTGGTGTATCGTGCTTCGCAGGCGTATGGGAGCGAAATAAATTCAGCCGCAGAGGCGGCCTGCTGGTAAAGTGTAATTTCGCTGGCGTAATGCTGGCACCGTAAATTAAACTGAAAGAAAGAAGGATGGTGCGTTCACGGATGAGCCAGAAGAGGTAAAATCAGCATTTTCTGGTGTGATAGCTACAGCGTATATCCCCGCTATAGGATAATGCACGCATACATATCCTATAAGCGGGGATTATACCGCTGTACGCTATCCACACCAGAGCTGGCCATAGCTCCCTCAAATGTGAGTTTTTTAACCTCTTCTTATCTGCACATTGAACCACATCAAAATTGAGAGCACTATTGTTGCTTTCTGTCTTTCTTTTCCGAGTTCTGGACTACCAGACGGTGTTGACGGAGACCCCCTCCCTACATATCCCATAAGCAGGGATTATACCGCTGTACGCAATTCACACCAGAGCTGGCCATAGCTCTCTTGAATGTGAGTTCTTTACTTTTTGTTACCTATCACACCCTGAACTTTCATACTATACCATTAGTCGCCTCTACCTCTTTTGTATTTACATATACGGAACGGTCTACACTAGACGCATCCACAGAGGAACTCTATCAAGTATCCTAGACCATCTATTGGCACCCTAGCAATACTTTACTGTTCTATCTACCCTTATTTGGCGCAGCCCTTCCATATCTTTTTGTATCTATCCCAATTTATGTCTGGGTAATTAAAATCTCTGTGTTACGTGTTACCCCGATTTGCAGCTTTCCCAATTAGCTCTAACAGCTGTTCTTCCTCATTAATATTTACATTAGGTGGTTTATAATATATCCCAACCAATAACTGATTTCCTTTTGTTTGCCCCAAGCAGATATCTACCCATAAAGCTTCCACATTTTCCTCGTCACACTCCACATGCCTAAGATTTGACTTTTAACTCATGGTTGACATACAAACATACCCCACCACCCTTCTTGTTTTTCCTATCTTTCCTAAATGACGTGTACGCATTTAAGTTAACTGCCCAGTCATGTGTCTCATCCCACCATGTTTCTATTATGCCTATTATATCATATTGTTTAGTGCATGCTATTGCCTCTAGTTCCCCCATTTTGTTATATAGGCTCCTTGCATTAGTAAGCATACATTTAATATTATCATGAGTCATTTGCACTTTTGGTGAATTTTCATCAATATTACATATCTCCTCTGTTCTGATCTTGCCCCCCCCCCCCATTTCCTCCCCCTTATACTGAGCTAAAGCCCATCTCCTTTCTGTCCTATCTCCATTTTCTAGATTGCTTTGACCCTCCCACCCTACTACCAGTTTAAAATCTCCTCCAACCTTCTAGCCATCCTATCCCCCAGCACAGCAGACCCTCTTCCATTTAGGTGCAATCCATCAGGGCTATACAAGTTGTACCCAAGCGCAAAATCAGCCCAGTGCTCTAAAACCCCAAAACCCTCTTTCCTGCACCAAGCGGGACTTACTTCTTGTATGAGGAGGAGGGGGAGGAGTGTTGCGTGATGACAACGTGCGCAGTGCCGTCAGTCCGCCTTCACGGATCTTCAGCGGAAG